CTTCAATCTTAAAGTGGAGAAAATAATGGTACCTACCCTGTAAAACTGTTGAGAAGCTCCCTGAGCTCAAGCAGAGCATCTCAGACATTGAGAAAACCTAGACAACTCTTTTTCTTCATTTCTGTGCCTCCTACATATAAATATGAGGACTACCACAAATCTTGGTATATTTCAAATTTTTCTTAAACAAATGTTTTGCCATATGTACAGTACTTGTGCTATTTACAGAGTCATTATAGGTTATATAAAAATATGATTTTATATTACAATACAGGTATACACTCTTTCTCCCTGGCTGTGTTGATAACTTCTATAAAGTTTACATCAGAATTCCAAATTTGAGGTCATTATGAAGACATTGAGCACAGTAATTCCCCACTTCTGATTATCCCTCCTCACTACCCTCCCTAATCATCACAAGCAGAGACATTTTTCTTTTCTTTTCTTTTTTCCAGAGAAGAGAGTGTGTCCCTTTGTGTGACTGACCCTGCTATTTGAGAATTCCCTGTCTTCTCCCTGAACTCAGTATCACATATCACAGACTTAAGGAAATGGAGCTTAGTGAGAGGTCACGATGCATTTATTTCTAAGCCTCTCTGAGACGTGGCTCTATCTTAAAACTTTTCTGATTTTGGCCAAGTTGCTTAATTGCTGTGTGATTCACTTTTATCATCTGTGAAATGAGGAGCCTGAACCATATAACAGGCTTAAACAAGAGCCTTTTGCTGTCCTCTATACCCCTAAATTCTTTCACATCTCCTCTACCTTCACAAAATCCTGTGGATACAAAGAACATAGTTTGATATGTAAGTCCTGGGCCTCTGAGGTCCAGCCAGATACAACATTCTAGGATTCATTGATTATGGTCAGGAAAGACCCTGGGTAGCCTATTGGTCCCTCATGTACCCGTTGCAGTCACTAGACTGACCACTAGTGAGTGTTCTGGTCTCTGCTGTGTAACTTCACATGTTGCAGGACCAGGATACAGGATGTGGCATGTCTGGGTGCTTCTTGGAAGAGCTACTGCATCCTGTAAACGTTGGGTCTCTACCTGCCAACTGCTGAGAGGAACCAGTAATCCTTTCAGAGAGCACAGGCTTTTATCAATGAGGAGGATTCAAGGCTTTCCCCCCCCCTTTCCTCCAAATAACACTCCCACTGTTCAGGCTTAAATACCAAAACCTTATGGTTTGCAGAGTAAGTGCCAAGAAGTCAATCATCACAGAAACTGCAAAGATAATAGCTCCTATTGATCAAATTGGGAGAAGAATGGTTTCCTCTCCTGCAGAAGTCAGGAAAGATAAGGGTTGGAGTTTTCTAAAACATGCTTAATTTGCCAAATTGAATAAAACCACATACAAACACTTATGTTCTTAGAGAACTGGTGACCAATTCAGGAAAACCTCACAAAATGAAAAGACTGGATTGGATTTTAAGGCATGTGAAATAGAAAGTCTTTCTAAAAGCATGGTGAATGTGTTATTTCAAATCTAGACAATGACATAGGAGCAAATGGGCATATGCCCACGTAGAGGTTGACTGCTATCTGCCTTATCAGAGAGACAGGGAAGGCAGGAGAGAGTTCGAGTGTCCATTCTAGGCTGGGCACCATGTAGGACACCATGGTCCATTATCTAATTTAAAGCTTACCTCAGCCCTGTGAGATGATTTTTGTTATTCCTTTTTACAGACGGGAAGGTAGAGGTCAGAAGATGTTAAGTCACATGCTATAACCACAAAGTGACAGAAATTAGTATTTTAATCTAGATCGATACTTCCATTAAATAGTTACTGTTTCCTAGTTGGAAATACTGATTTGCTATGACCATAATAGTTTCATAGAGGCTGCTAGCCTGATATTACATATCTCATCCTTTAGGAACAGCAAGGAGAATGGGAGAGAAGCTGAATTCACGGTGCAATTCCTATGGGACTAGTACTGAGGTTGTCTCTTTCGCTAAAGTTACTCATCTTGGAATCAATAGAGATGAAGTTGATATGTGTCACTTTTTCTTATTTAAATTTCAGCCTTCTGGGCCTCCCCTGGTGGTACAGGGGGTTGAGCGCAGCGCTGTGAAGCTGTCCGCAGTCTCTGCAGCACCGATTCGTTCCCAGCCAGCCAGCGAGGGTCCCACATGGCACGGCAGACCTCTCCTGTCTCGCCCACTGCTCCCCGTATTTCGTCAGTCTGCCTGTTCTGTTCCTCGCTCTGTCTCTGGTGAATCCTCTCACCCTCCCACGCATCTGGTCTGTACCCTGGTTCTTGTATAAATAAATAAATAACTCTTTAAAAAAATAAATTTCAGCCTTCCTTTCAGGAAAAATAAAACATCTTAAGCACCACTTTTGTGAAAGGAATTGCTAATATTAAACTTTCACACTAAATAATCAACCTTTCTTTTTTAAAAATTATAGCCTTGGAAGATGGCATTTTCCACAAAGGTTATTCATATTTTAAAATATTCTTATCTGTTTTTACTATTATCTGAGAATCTGAACATGTGATTATCTAAAGGAATAGATTTTGAAGCTGAGTACAAAATTCCTCAGAATGGTCATGATCACTAATGAGCTTGTGAATTGAAATTATCTTTGCTGCAGCCTGAGAATCAAGTGGTAATTAGCGTCCAGGGACAGTGGACAGCAGTTTCTCTATTTGCAGTGCCAAGAATCCATTCATTTGTCATCGGCCCAAATTATTTTCAACCAGCAATTCAAACTCAGTTTAGAAAAACCAAGTGACATATAGCTAACATTCTATAAAATTAATACTGTAAGATGAAACCTATATTTCTGGCAATTTAACTGTGAGCAGCAGTAAGATGAAGCTATGAAAATATTGAACAGAAATACTGTCAAGATCTGTCTTCATCCCACCACTTCCCCAGCGTTTGCTTCCTTGCCTGAAATGCCGCCTTGGCTGCCATGCGACTATTCCCAAGCTCCCTGAAGTCTGGGTATTGCAGTGCTTCCTGAACCTTTTTGTAAGGCAGACCAGTAGTCCCTAAGACTGCAAACAAGAGGCCATTATTCAAAGAGCCAAAGTGGGTGGCAACAAGATGGGGGTCAGAATGGTGTTGCGGTTGGAGTCATTCGTGCAGGGCCCCCGAATGTAGACAATTAGCTCTTCCTGGGGAAATCACCTGTGAGAAATACCCAGTCCTAGGACAAGTGGTTGACAGCAGAAGCTCTGCCTTTGACTGGGGTTTTGGATTAAGTAGTTTTTCTACTTCAGTGAATTTTTCCTTTTGGTTTCATAGTTTGGAATTGTGAGTATATTAATGCCATTACTGATCATCTGACTTCAGTTCCCTTTAAAAGAATCTGTGCTGTTTTTGGCTCAAAACATTGAAGGCAACTGGGGCCGTTTGGGGTGGGGAGGGTATGTGTGGTTTGTTTACTTTCTTTCCCACCTGCTTCTAGGACAGGGAGACCGGTAAGTCAAGCAGGTCCACACAAACCAAACAACCCTTGTCTCTGTTGTGTGTGGCAGGTTGACGGGAGGCCCGGTAGACAAACTAGAAGGGGGCCTTTGCAAAGTCTCAGTGGGTAAACATCCTGGTCTTGGCAGAACTCCCTGATGGCTGTGGTGACTTCTATGGCCGTGTGGCAGCGAGTCCCCATCAGTGAATAAGGAAATGTAGAAAGTGTATATAACTAGGTGAAAAAGTGGAATCATAGAAAGGAAAGGTGAAAACCAAGTCGTTTCACGGACTTAAGTACTAAGCAGACTGGGCTGCTAGGAGGTATGTGGGTGGAAGAGTCAGCACAACTGCATTTGAATCCCAAGTCTTTCACTTACTAAAGTTCACCTTGCATTCAAACTCACATCCATCTTTTGTTATTATTGTGCTGAAAAGATTGTTAGGTAGATCCCAGGTTTACTAGGCTAAAAGGGCTATAATTGTTTAAATTAATTGTGTCTGTGCTATAGTGAAAGAATGGCAAGTGGCAGAATGATGCCACATATGTAATGACCTCTGACTCTCTGAGATCTTGTCCTGCCCTCAAAGTCTGAAAGTGTGTGTGTGTGTGTGTGTGTGTGTGTGTGTGTGTGTGTGTGTGTGTGTACACAGCCTGGCCTACTGTCAGATTACTGTAACCCTATTACATCAAAATGTGGTAATAAGATGGTATCATGGATGTCTTAAATATTCAAAACCCACCATGGAAACATCAATTGTGTAGTATAGTGGATTGCTGAAAGACATTGCTTTAGATTGCTAATTTGCATATTTGCTTTAATTTATGGTGGGTTTGAAAATTACCTTTTAATGTACACTGTTACAAATGACTACTCAAATACTTAGTTTTCATTTGCCTTGACTTAAAGTTTCAATATAGAAAAATGCTATCCATTCACAAACACAGCAAATGAAATAAGCTGGAGCAAAATTTTTTTTACTCCTGGGATAACTGGGGAATGTATTAGCCTAAGCCTGGTCTTCTAACAAGAAAAGGAAGAGATTATGTTTGATCATGTTTGGTCGTTTTCTTTAATGAAATGGTATTTTAATTTTCAAGCCTTTTTTTATTTTATATATTTTTTACATAATTTTTCATTTTTGCACAATGTAAGCATTTTCATCTTGGTTATAGTCCCCATACAATTCCCAGCCCCCCTTGTTTTGATCCTATTCCCTTCTTTCTCCCCCACCCCTCCGAAGTGTGTCTCTGGTTTATAGTTGTTGATTTTGATTTTTACTTTATTATAATGACTGGATCAAGAAGAAGTGGTACATATACACAATGGAATATTACTCAAGCCTGTTTTTTAAAGAGTAAACTCTTCCAATTTGGCCTGCAACTTGTTTCTCTGGATAGCCTCTGTAACTTGGGCATGGAGAACAGCCGTTCCCATTTAATATGCTACGGAATTGCAGTGGTCTCTCTCAGAAGGCAGAGCCCTTGGAAATCTCTTGTAATGCTTCTAACAGCCCATAAGTTACTGCATTTAATATTGACTTTGTCTTTCTCCCCTCCCTTCTTTTTCTTTTCAGAAACAGAGTTGTCAGTCACTGCTGACTTAGTGCCTACCTCATCATGGAACATTTCAAGTGAATTCGACAAAGGTACACAGTGGTAACACATAGAGGGGCCAAAGGAGGGGGGGTGTGAAGCTCCATTTTTTAATCCTGGCATGGCCTTTTTTGAAATCAACTGCTTTTTAGATCACCAGGAGGAGGCGGAGGCCAAAATAAATTCCTTGCTTACTTTGTAATCATTTAACATTTAATTACCTGGAATTCTATTTTTTCTGGGAAGGTATTTTTCTTCTTTCCTTCCCTTTCTTCTTCTAAAATGTTTCACATGGTAAAAATGCTTCAAGATGTGAAATAGGGTCGTTTCTGACCTTCCTGACACTGCATCTAGTGGATCTTATTTAGAGGATTTGATTCTGATCAACCAGAATTGATCAGAGCTCTTGACTGGGTGACCTTTTACAGTTAGTATTTGATGTGATTGCAGGGTTCAGGGAAGAATATCTGAAATGTTTGTAATTGCCTGTGCATAGAGATGACAGCTTCCTGTGTGCACCTGGGGAACAGGTTCCTGCTACAAGGTTGTTGTAGTATTAATTAAGCACCACCATATGCTAAGCATTGTCTGTCCTGTGTCGTAGAGTGGTAAATCAGGGTGCATTCCAAGTCCCTGCAATCGGGTTCATCCTCACTTTCCAGCCTTTTTTCTCGTTAGTCCTCTTTTTGTTCCCTTATGCATCTCCAGCCAAATTTCTCCTTGTGTATGCTCTGATTTCTGCCTTTCTCTTGTCATCTAAAATATTCTCCTAACCTTCCTTCTTTGCCAATACACAATCTCTTCCTTCTGCAGGGCTGTAGTCTCTTTCAAGGCTGAGTATAAAGTCTATAGTAAAAAGTCTTATCTAATCCCTCAACAGGAAATGACCTTTCCTTCTTTGGAACTCTCTTCATCCTTTTTTCTGTTCTTCTCCTAGGCATTTTTTCTATGTTATATCATAGTGATTTATATACATGTCTATCTTACCTTTAAGCCTGGAAGTCCCTTGGAGGTAGGATTTTTATCTATTTTGTCTTCTGTATCCATTACAAAATCTAAACAGACTCTTGCTTATAGAATTTCTTCAATAAATATGTGCAGAATGAGGAGTCACACCATATCTAGGGCCATGTAAATGGATGAGCCACATCAATATGTGTGCAAATACATTCAACACACTTACTGCATTTCTATTTAAATTCAATAATAATACTAGATTATGGGAATATAGTGATAATAGACCTTAAAGTTCTTGTCGATGGTTTCCTTTTCTTATCTACTCTCTTCTGTGCTCATATATTCACTGGGAACTGTATTCCTCCTTTAGAAGACAGAATATTACTTAATAAAACAGTTATAAGAAAAGTTACTTTGTTAGTTATATTTAATGAGGCATTTTGGGGTGGGTGGTAGGATGATGTGAGATGTCATTTCACCTTACGTAAAAGTATATTTAGGATAAATTTTTATTGTCAAATTTTACCAGGATAGTCCTTTTCTTTTTCTTTTAAATATTTATTTATTTATGCATACCGGAGATGGGGTACAGGCCAGAGGTGTGGGGGATGATAGGATTCTCAGAGACAGAGTGGGGAACAGAACAGGCAGATTGACCGAAGTATACTGCTGAGGGGAGCAGCTGACAAGACAGGAGAGGTCTGCTGTGCCATGTGGGTTGCTCCCTGGCCATCCCGGGATCAAACTCGTGTTGCAGTGGCTGCGGACAGCTTCTTAGGTTGCGTCTCAACCCCTTGTGCCACCAGGGAGGCCCAGCAGGATAGTCCTTTTCTAATTCAGTATTAAAACAGAGGCTATGCTTCATTCCTCCTTGTCTCTAGCAACAAATACAGTGCCCAAGAGGCAGTAGATTACACATTGATTTTTTTAAATGTTAAAGAAGAAATAAAGCTTACTAAGTGTTAACCTAGTGCCTACTTTGTGCCATGCATTGTGCTAGGTGCTTTGAGTATGTGAACTTAATCAACAAGCCCCTGAGAGTACCAATAGAAAAATAACATCATTGCAGACAGTGTGGAATTGATCAGATTCCAGTTAAGGTTATAGAAGGAGACTGGTGTGTGCTAACAGGGTGGTAGACCCATCACTCAAGAACCTAGCCTGCTAAACTTTTACCAGGCTAGCACCATAATTAATAGCAGTTACTTTTCAAGAAGGAAGTAGTGTCTTGTGAGTCCAAGCCAAAGGGCTAGACCCAGACAAGTTCCAAATTCCTTTGTTCAGCATGACCTTTCCTAGAACATGGATGGCTTTCCATGGATTCTTGGTGTCATCTCTATATATAATTAGTGTGTAGTCTTTAATTTCATTTTAAAATGAGAGAAAAATCTGGTTAATTCATTTTTTATTTATTGATCAATTTTTTATTGCTTCCTATACTGGCCTAGTAGGCATTGCCTGTAGATTTAGGATAAAAAGATGAATCAGAAAAAGATCTCTGCCCTCTGTGAACACAGAGCCTAATGGGAAAGACTGATATCTTGACATGCAATCATAACCTTCTGGTCAGTTTGATAGATTGAGCTGTAGAAGGACAGTCCCCTCAATTGCAGAGAGCTGCTGGTGGAATTACCCACACACAGATCTATTGCCAGGCTGGTAGGCAAAGAGGAGAAATACCCATGTGCCAGTAAAGAAGAGCAAACTCAGTGTTCATTGAGAAGGAAATAAACAAAATGTCCCTATGGAAATATGGGAAGTGCATATGGTTCTTAGGGACTGTCATTTCAGTATCCCTTGGAGATGTTGTTGAGGCCATAGGCAGCAAGATCCCTGCATTGGTGACCAATGAGAATGGCTGATCAGAAACTGAAATAGATTTCTATCAACCACCTGGGTCGTTGGGTTAGAAATTCAACCTAAGACTAGCATATTAAAAATGTCTGACTATACCATTACATGAAGGTCTCTCGCTGAAAACAGAATTGAAACAAAACAATAACAGCAAATTACTAATGATGTTTAATTTTAAAATTATATTTCATGCAAGAGGAAAAAAATGAAGACACCATTAGTGAGTCATTAGACAAAACAAATGGAGTTTATATTTTACAAACTGAAGACAGTAGGCTAATTTAAGAGAACAGATATGCTTATTTATTTATTTGTTTGTTTGTTTATTTTTTTAAACAGAGGCATGTTTTTATTTATTTATTTGTTTGTTTTGTTTACACATGCACTGGGTACAGTCAGAAGCGCGGGAGGGTGAGAGAGTTCACCAGAGCCAGAGCGGGGAGCAGAGCAGGCAGAAGGACCGAAGTACACTGCTGAGGGGAGCAGCAGGTGGCAGGAGAGGTCTGCGCGCCATGTGGGACCCTCCTCTGGTGGCCGGGGTGCAGCTGGGGATCGAACCAGCGCCGCAGAGGCCGCGGGCAGCTTCGCAACCCAGCGCTCAACCGCTGCGCCACCGGGGAGGCCCCGAGAACAGATATGTTTAAAATGTTTAATGATGAAAGAAGGACTAGAAACAATAGGGAAAGTACAGGATAATGTGACAAAAAGTAAATTTTAATAGAACTAAATAGAAATTCTAGAATTGAAAAAGTTATAGAAATAAAAAATTCATCAATCGGGTTAAAGAGTGCACTCCAAAAAAGAAAGAATGGTAAACTGTAAGATAAAATTGAAATAGTATGATGGTTAAGAAAATGGACTCTCGTACCTTCATACTGTGTGACTTTGGGCAAGTCGCTCAACCTCTTAGTGCTTTGACCTACTCATTTTGTAAATGACCTACCTGATACAGTTGTTGTGACAATTGATCTAGCTAGCAATACTGATAAACTAAATGGAGGAGTAAGAACAGTCATTTTTGGTTCATGTAGTATTACTTTGGTTTTGATGGTAAAAAGGTAAATCATAGGTACTTTGGCAGACAGGTAAAGAAAGCATAATTTAATGTCAATGCAGAGATTTCAAAACCTGTGTAGTCAGTCCTCAGCAGCTGCCTACTCTGACCTTCCACTCTTTAGTCATGACCCACACTAGCACCATACTGAGCTTGGTAAATAAGGTTCTCCAAGGTCTTACCCCTGCTGACTCCTCTGACCTCTCCCCTACCCCCACACTTTATCTGCACTTTTTTCCATGACCTGCCTCTAATTCCCTAAACATATTGTTCTGTTTCCAATTTTTAGACTTTTGTTCATGCAATTTCTTATTCTTCACTTAACTTCTTTATTTAAGCATTACCTTATACATTTCCTCATCCCCTTTTCCCCACTGTGCATGCTTTTAATGGCACAGTGCTGAATAAGACAGGCCGTATTCCTGCTTTAGTGAACCTTGCTTTCTAGAGGGGGAGACACATAATTATTGAATCCTTTCAGCAACCCATTGTCCACGCCATCAACAGTGTCTCCGGATATTTTATATGTGGGTTACTATATCTGTTTTGATCAAAATTCTTATCACATTGTATTTGAGTTTGTTATTTTGTGCCTGCCTCTTTAAAGTCAGGTTTTCTTATCAATTGATGCACCCTTCTTGCCCTACACAATGCTTGGTGTAAAGCAGGAAAACAGAGTATCAAAACATTTGCTTCAAATCCCAGTTGTGCCAATTCATAGTCACTGGTGTGAATACCTACCAGGTATTAAGCACTTGCTAAACATGTTGCATGCATCATTTGAATTCGGTCCATCCTGTGCAGCAGAACAGGCAAATGAGCCTCGTGAGGGTTTAAAGGACTTGACTAAAGGGCACCACTGGTGAGTCATGGTGCCAGCATCCATGTCTCATACAACAGCTGATAGACTGTCCCCCTTGTATTCATATCCTCTCCTCCTGTGGGGCAATACTAGAAAATCCATCATTTGGTTTAGTGCCTTTCTCTTCACCTATCCCACCTGGCTCCCCAGCCTTGCCCAGGTTCTGCTAAATGACTTTCTGTTAAGAATCCAGTTAGTGGCATATAACAGTTACCTGTTTATCCTTTCCAGCAGGAAATGAAATTTAAAAGAGACAAGACCCCCTGGGAAGAGCAGTTGAAAACTACTGTTGATGGGATTTGGGATAATATCTGAAACAAATCTTC